TAATGTGTTAACAAGAGACCGGAGCTGAGAGTGGATTTGAGTCGTTCTATAGCGGTTTCACATTCTCTTGACCAGGACCATGAGGAATCCTTGCGTAGGAGACGGTTAAAAGGTTCCCGCATATCGTGTAGGGAGGGCAGGAACGCCGAATAGTAACTGATGAGGTCAAGGAAGGATCGGAGAGTCGCAATATCTGTTGACGTGGGCATCTGCTGTATAGCGCGAATGTTTTTTTGCTCAGGACGTCTACCAGGAGCATCAAAAATGAAACCTGAATATTTTGCTGACTTTAGAAAGAACTGACATTTCTCCTTCCCGAGTTGAAGGCCGTTGTCATGGATTCGCTGTAGGACCAACCGTATTCGATTCGTTGATTCCGCTGTGCAGGTGGTAACTATTATGACGTCGTCACGGCATGCAGCAACACTTGTTATGCCTGCTAGCATAGTATCCATGATCTGTTGAAAAATAGTGGGAGCAGTCGTAATGCCAAATGGCAGAAGATTGTACTGGAAAAGACCCCGATTAGTATTGATAGTTAGTAATTCACGACATTCTGGAGAGACTTCGACTTGTAAGTATGCGTCCGCCAGATAGATCTTTGCAAAATATTTTCCTCTACTTAGAATAGTGAATAAATCATCTGGAACAGGTAGGGGATAATGGTGTTGGTCCAAAGCAGCATTCAACCCTACCGAAAAATCAGCACATAGTCGGATGGAACCATTAGCTTTCTTTATGATGACGACTGGAGCAGCCCAAGAAGAATGGGATACTAAGGTGATGACATCCTGTTCCTGAAGTCGTTTCAGTCCTCCTTCGACGAGAGGTAGCGATGCATGTGGGATGGGCCTTCTAGGACAAAAACAGGTGATGCATTTGGTTTCAGGCGTAGGACGGCTTTGTTTGCCTTACAGTGATCGAGGCAAGGTTGGAATACTTCTGAATATTCAGCAATAATATCGTTAAGGTTCGTCGTGATGCTTGACAGTGCTTCCATTTTGTTGCAACCATATTCTGTGGAAGATTGGCGAGTTTCAAACCCTCGAACCAGTCGAGAACCAGAAGGTTTAAAACAGCGTAAGACAGATAACAACTCACATTTATCGAAGTATCGTGAAAAGATACACCACACGATAACTAATCTGTTAGTGATAATCGGCCACCGCATGCGCTAATAGTAGTTTGTGCAGTCATCTTGATTATTTACTTACTTACTCGATCTTGGTTATTTTGGGTTAGATGTTTAACTTTTGAAATATATGGTTCAGTCCATTGACTACCGTCCCAATTTGAAGAGAAACACTTCAATAGCCTCAAGTTATTTTTTCTTCACCAAAATTGTTGTGGCTTTTTCAAATTTGGAATACATAATTAAAAGATAAATATTCCTAAATCACATTACAATATAGTCTATCTACATTTAAACCATAGCTTAGATGCTTTGCATTAGGTTACTCTAAAGCGATTCCTTAGTTTTACGAATTAAAAAGATGTCGTATTGGTCGAGAGTTCTCCTAAATACGTCAAGAGATTCACAGTAACTTAGGTATTAGGAAATACTTCTCATTGAAGGGGATTAATTCCAAGTTTTCTGAACAACTTCAGAATTACTCCGTTAGACTACCACGACACGTTTCGAAAGCAGTCACTATCTTTTGTTCTGTATCCATTCATCATTAAATATAACTAGCCACAAATGATAGAATCATTGCTAAAGTTAAGTAAGTCTGTTCAGTCACATTTTCCTATGACATCCAACCATTCCTACCTATAAGTTTTTTTAAGAAACAATTTCTCTGAATAACACCGGTTTGATTCACTTAGGAGAAATCAATTTCCTCCAGGCTGCAGCTACGCCTTACTGATCAGTGCGAAGAAGTAAGAAGCCCAGGTGCAGGGATACTTGCTGATTGTATCCAACCAGTTAATAAAATTAATCAGTAAGTGCCAGACAGTTGTGAAACAAAGGTCATAGCAGAAAAAGGGGAAAAATAATATGCCTATGTATACATAGATAAGGATTCTCTCTGTGAATAGTCATAGCTTGTGCTTTGCAAAAATTGGACAGTCAGAACCACTTTGTTCTGTTTTCAATAACCATGCAGGTAAATGTTAAGGACGGATCGTGGCTAGCAGTGAAATCCAGGATGCGCATTTCTTTCTATTTGGGACTCGTCAGCTGGATATACCTGCGGGTAAATGTTTATGTGAACGTCTTGAAAGAAGAACAGCACATCTCTTCTGAATACAGGATGAAAGTAACGAAATAATGAATGTGGTGAATTTCTGCTTAAGCTTTTTGCTCACTGTCAAGATTACCACCACTCTCTTTTCAGCTTCAGCCACCAGACCCATGTAAACATATCAGGTGACCAAGAAACGATGATCAACCTAACTTTTTACATATGAATGCAACATGTCATAAACAGTGTCAAAAACAATTTTAATTGGAAGCATACATAAAGTCCTGGTGACTAGCGGTTCTTTTGGATCTCAATAAAGCTAAGATTACCATCGAGACATTTAGAAAAGAATTGACTGGATGATGAGACATCTGTCTGCAACTACCATCTTATCAATGACCTTATGATAGTACATTTACTTCGAGATATGGGATGTTGTCATTCAGTGCTGAAGTCAGATAAATTACCGTGTAGATATTCAAGTTGTTACCACCCGGAGTATGCCTAGACTATATGTGGGAATATTTCACCAGATGATAAAGAATTTATCTGTATGATCCTAACATCTTATTCCTGAAATAAATCTTTTCATCAAATTTACTGTTTGGTCACCTAGCTTAGTAACAGAACACTGTGATGCAGTTTATTTCGTTGCTATTGTGCTTTTCCCTTATCATACTATAATAGAGTTGAGTCTCCGCAACAAGGTTCTTATCTGCAATGAAAGACTGTACTTACGGGAAAATAAGATGTAATGCAGTAATTAAGCATAATACCACTACCACCATTATTTATAAACGGATAACCTTAAGTTTAAAGTTATGTTAGCGAGATGTGTAGGATCGAAATATTAGACAGTAACGTTACCTTTTTGTGATATATCCCATGAGTGACAAGTCCCAAGAGATTTAGATCTCAAAGCTAAAATACTCAACATACCATAAACAAGTTAGGTTCATTTAGTTGAATGGTCTACTGAATGAACAGTTTTGAGAATATTTAATAACCTGTATTCTCAGTATCGAAATCGTTCAAAGGTAGGTAGTTCTAGTGATTTCCAGTTGTAAATTTTTCTTTCATGAGTTTCTCATCCAATACCACAGGTTGGAATTTCTGTCCAACGATATTTGTTCCTGATTTATTGTATCATTTTTAGTGTTGCTTACATTGATTCTACTTTATATTGTTTACTTAATATGATATATAAAGTTTTATTATTGTATCACTTCAATGATCACTGATGTGTTATTGATGAACTCCGCTACAACATTGATGAACAATGATATTCGGTGTTACTTAAAGGATATTTAGCCAAAAGAAATCACTTTTCATGTTGAGATTTCTAAATTATTATTCATTTATAATAGTCTTTTACTGAAAATTAGTTGTATCTATAAGTTTGTTAAATACACTCCTTTGTTCTGTATGCTAAAACAAGTTGAATAGATTGAAGAAAATCATTTCGAACAGTAAATTTTAACAGTAAATTTATAATATGCTTACACATTATCCAATTAAAACTAATTGATTAAAGCCTTTTGTATATTATTTCGATGATATTTTGAATTAATGTATACTCATGATTGTTTAATGAGATTAAGTTACATTTGAGTTAGTTTACTGTAAAACAATTGAATGTTTTACAAATTAGTAATGTTATATTGGTGTACTTATAACTCTATTCGTTTGAAAAAATATTCTCCTCATATTTTTAAAGCGTAATTAATGCACATAGTTGTAACAGTTTCAGTCAGAGATAGTTGGAACACGTGTTACATATGCCTAGTCGCCGATTGCCTGGTCATACAATGTTGGCCGAAGTAGGTGCAGGCTGGAAAAAGGCCCAAGGTGGCCAGACTAAAACATGACATCAATGTATGAAGTCTCTGACTGTTGCTTTGAGCCATATGGGGCGATGCAGACTATGTGGTTGGGGTCCGCGGGACAAGAGGAACCAGTGGTTGGAGAGTCTACATGATATGGCTGAGGACCGATGTCAGTGGCGCAGATGTATACACACATTATCCTCATCTTAACGACGGTATACCGAATCTCACCACTTTTTCATCCTTCGTTTCTCTCTTTTCGTAGTTTATATTTCTTTTGACTGCATTCTCTTATCTTCATCTTGTAGTTCACTGCTTTTTTACTTGATGTACTGATATAAGGTGTGGCAACTCAAACCGTTACGCAGTAATGCATGGTCCTAGGTTGACCTGGATAGATGATGGATCTGATCACCATTTAACTAACCTTAGAAAAGTAATTCACTGAAAGTATAAAATCATCTCTGATGAAGTGATAAATTCATCTAACTTCATAAAGGAAATTTAATAATTAAGCTATAAAAAGTTATCGAGCACTGGATAACGAAATAATAAATATTTAAAATAGGATTTTTAGCCTTACTTTGAAAATATCATGTTTAGAAAAAAAAGATTTTAGGTAAAGCAAATATCTTCATTTTTGCAGTGACAGAAAGTTTATGAAGAAAATTGTATTGGTGTTACTTATTGGTAGACTATAGTCCTAAAGATGAATAGAATAGTCTTTAATATCCCATTTGATCTAGTATATAGGTGTTTTGTCTGTAATTAATTTACAATAAAGTGTAAAAATAAGGAAGAATAAAATTCTGAAAAAATGTATGACTTCATCATCTTAGACAAGTGTGAAAATACTAAGTGATTGTTTAAACCGATAATGAGAATAAATTTAATATTGTGATTCACTTGTTCAAAATAAAAACAGTATAAACACTGGAACTTCTTCTTTCAATAAAAATTTGTATACTTGGTTAATAGTTTCAAAATATTAAAATGAAGGGAAACCTAAAATTGTAAAATATTTATAATAATTTTTTTTTAAAACATTTTTAGTAGCAAATTCATTTATTTAACGGTATTACTTAATTCAACGAATTGAAACCTACTAGGAATAAATTTCTGATTGTGAATTTGTTCAACTACTCATTCATCTTGACATAGAGTTCAGTTATCTGACAATGATGGTAATTTCATAAAATACTACGGTTTGTCAGAATATGCTTAGCTAATGCATTAAATGAAATGGTCACCAGTTGAATCTCAAGTAATTTTCAACAGAGATATTGTAGACTGTTTAACTAGTTTAGCCAGTGGTTCATTTCAGCCTTTATCAACCTCATAGTCGACATTTAAACATAAGCGTATTTTTAAAACCTGGTTATTATTTTTTGATTATTTCTTTATACCAGCAAAACTGAACAATTATTGAGATAGATATTTATTGATATTTACTCATTACTGGTTTATAATTTATTTATTTTGTTTGTTTTTCTCCTCAATACGACTTACCACCATAAGGACTGAAACTTGTCTTATCTTTAAAATCAGATTTACCCTTTAAACTGCCTAAAACTTCAAACTTCGCCTTCATTTGCTTGTTACCGTATTGTTTCACTTGACCCACAGTGTCATAATCTAAATATTGTCGCTTTCGACCGTATATATCAAAACCTCCACCTTTACGGAATTTGGTGACTGACTTGTAATTTATGCCATAGTCTTGATGGCCAACACCAACAAATCTGCCTCTCACATCTAAGTGACTATGGCTATGCTTTGATCCTGACAAGGAACCTGTTCCAAATGACGGAATATCACTGCCATGGTATCCATTATGTGGTATATATGGTGTATTTTTAGGTTGATAGGAATCTTCATACTTTTCTACAGGAGTATATTCTCCATTGTAACTATCCTCCTGTTGATTGTTATTTGCTGGCTTTCCGTTGTCACCTGAATTATAATTTTCACCATTGTTATTCTGGTCATATTGATAAGGTGCTGGCTGATAGTTGGAATAATCAAAGTTATTGCCATGACCATTATTATTGTTGTTATTATAACCATTGTCATCATAGTTGTTATCACCATTGTAGTATGTCGCATAGTCAGGATAAGAAGGATGAGTGTTATATTTTCCACCATTTGATGCACCATATTGTTGCGGTTGTTGATTATTATCATACTGTCTTTGTGATGGTGAAGACCAGTGAGGATTAGGGACAGAGCGGTAGTCATTGTATATGTTGCCACCAAAGACAACAAATGGAAGGAGAACAAACAATATGAAACAGAATAATTTCGTCATTTCTGTTTGCTTCCGTTCTGTATTTAACCCAAACACAGTTAAACGAATGTCTTTTATAATTTGTTTTCTTGACTTATTTATATATTCCAATCTATTAAAGTTCATCAATTTGTTTATTCCACTTTTTAGTAAATATGCATTAAATGTTGGATATTTTGATGTACTATTTGATGCACTGTGGAAAATTATGCATAATTTTTTATTGAAAATCAAATAAAATGCATAGTTTGCTTTAAACTTGGTAATGGCTAGTAAAGAAGTTGAAATATTGAATTTGTCCCATATTTAAAAATGTCAGCTAGATATCCTTCTATGCTTGTGTATGTTACTTGAGAATAAACCTCGACAATTATCACTTCAAATACCACAACGAATATCCCATAAAGTTACTGACCAAAATTAGTTGTTATCAAATGATTACTAATCAGTAGCCTTATACACAACAGTCAGTCTGATAACGGAAGAGATTAATGCTTGATTTAATTGAGTATTTAATCATACTTTAGTATCCGTAGCTAGTAAGTTTTTGGTAGAATGAATGATATCTTCTGAATTCCCATGCTAATCATCAATAAATCCATCTTAGATAAATATCGAAGACAATATTTGAATAGCCATAAACTGAGTCTTTGTACTATCATAAGTTAACTGATTCATTTGTTTAAATCAGTGATGGAAACTTTTAAACGGTTATAAGAAAACTGTAACTGACAGTTGTTCATAATAGGCAGTGGTTTAGATTCCACACAACTAATTTTTCTGACAGCATATCAATTGATCTTAGATAGATTTTCTGATCATAAAACAGTTGGGTAATAAGTGAAGATGATCGAGAATCTCAGTTGTGAAAGGCATCAAGCTAAAAGTTTCTAAAAAAGTCTTCTGGTATTCCTCATATTACTGAGTATTCATAACAATTAGGAGTCCATATTAACTAGATTTTCGTCCCAATCGTTTTCATTAAATCAATATGAGTACTAGTCCAGCTGTTAATGTCTCCAGTGGTTTATACTTTTGTCGAATTCGTCACACAGGTAGCTACCAATCTCTGAGGGAACATCGCTTCTCTCTCAAAGTCGCAGAATTGTTTTGTTGATGAGAAAAGATCAGCAAAAAAAAATGAATTCAAGACCTACTACTAATCTGCTCTAATCATTTGTTAAATAAGCTTATAAATCATACCTGAGCTTTTCCACACTATTATCGCATTTATTTTTGGAAAAATTGTATTATTGATCGACGCTTCTTTGAGAATCCACTTCTGAATAAATTCGCAAACCTTCTGAGATACTCTAATGGCACTGATTGTTAGACTATCCTTCATGTAAATTCGTAAGGTGCACAAAAAATGAGTTAAACTTAGCATTCACTAGCCATAAACCGTATAATACTTGAAACTGACAATTTTCAGGTGGTACCGAAAGCACCAGTGAGTAAGTTCTCGCGGAGTAAAAACAAAGGAAGCTAAAAACGTAGATGCAAAGAAGTCAAAAGCTTTTCTAATTTACTACCGCAGAAACTGCATCTTATGGAATCAAACAAAATACACAACAATGATATTGTTATGGTGTGCAATTTTACCAACCAGATTCCTCAAGAAGTTTGAATTCCCCAGAACGCTTAGAACAAAATGAATTTACTTCAAAATTTCTAGAAAATTGTGTGAATATACTCACCTGGTTGGGTAAACTGATAAAAGCATCTGGAGAGGTCATTCATGCAAGTTGCTGAGGAGTCCCATACTGGCGAGAAACAGCTGTCCAGTGCTACCAAGTTTCCAGTGTTTCCTCAAGTGATGTCAGACCATAATGGATACCGATCTGAAATCGATAAAATCCCCACAGGCTTTCAGACTGACTGAATATAAATAGACAAAGGTTCTGGACATAAACGGCTTGATAACAGATTTATCGTTTAACCCCTTCTTTGGTTCCCAAGAAGACAAATTATCCTCAAGGGTGAGATGTTAAGGACTTTGTTCACAAGTCTATATACACTAGCAGTTAGGTAAATATTAAACCCCCAGACTTACAATTTCTTAATACCTTCCTAATATTCCACAACATCAGATACGTTCTAGTGTGAAGTCTTATCACTTAATCTTGCCACCACACTTCAATCCTACTAAACAGAAAGTTATTATTGGTCAGAAGTTAGTAAATGGTAAAATTAGGACTCGCTTTTCATGTTTACTGATACCCATGAGAAACGTATGCCTTCAAAACATTATCTATCAATGGGAGGTACTTAAGAATAGGCAACTACATTTTTTACCATCTGGTGGTCAATGAATGTAAGGGTTAGTGGTACATTTTCTAGTAATCATTTAACTGCATAGCACATATTGCTTACCTACAAAACTACTAAGTCATGGATTTTTCCCCTAGTTAAATAATGTGACTGTTCAAACCAATGGAGTACAAATTATTTTCAGTTAATGGTTACTGCAACACGAAGATGTGGAAGATGTTTGAAGAAATACGTTGTGAAATGCTGAATTACTTGTTCTGCTTTTGCTCAAAAGTTGTTACACCCTAAGATAACAAGCTGACTACTTATTACGTCTATATATATCTTTTTGGTTTCCATGTAACTTGCCTAAATCAAGATGTTTATATTACGATCCAAAAAGTCCGTAGTGTTTCTTTGCATTTTAATTTGTAGACAGACTATATTCGCCAATACTTTCTGTTTCACTGAGAGCATCTTCAAGTTGGATGCTAATAGTGTCATTCCTTCCAGTTCCGTAAGTGAACAAACTACTTTTATCATAAAACAACCCCATGTTGTTAAAAAAAGGAATGATAAGCTCAAAAACCATTCTTTGCAAGATGTTTCTCATCATGAAGTTAAGCTAAGACTATCATCGAAACTTGGAAAGCACTGAACTACTGTCCACTCTGAGATAGCATATATATGTATAAAAAAGCATGAACTGGTTACTAGCGGATAACCGGTTTAGAGTTAGGGTCTTTCGGTTTTAGTACTGATTGAAGTTTATCAACGAAGTTTTTCAATGTACCCACTGCCTACTGTCAAGCTAAGCGACGCTGTAATGCTTCTTTTATGAATAAGGAACTGAAATGAGGTAATGGCCTGTACTTTGGTGTTTGTTTGTTGACGCTGACAACCAAGGTTTGTCTAAGACCATGAGAAAACCTGTGTTTCTTCTGTTATTCGAAACCGCACTACTCAGTCGTGAATCCATATTGCTAAGCATGTGAACCACAATGTCACATCTCATTTCATCTCCCATTCAAAAGTACGTGCGGTGACACATACATAGGGAGGATTCATCGATCCATGCAGGTAAAGGCCTCGGAACATATTCCGAAGTGGCATCAGAAGACAACTGAATCACCTGAATAATAATAACAATAATATATTTGCTTTATTCCGCACCATAATTATGTTTACAATACAAAATGTTTTGCTTGTGTTACTGCATCAGTTTACCTACTATACAACATTTTTAAAACAACAATGGTTCTGTTTGACAATATATTATGGAGAATAACGAATAATAGAATTATTGAAATGTTTAATGACTTCAGGGACATCATAACTATTCGCTATTACACAGTTGTTTGACAAGACTATATCTAACAAGATTTTCTTCACACAATACACAAGCCAAATAAGGTATGGTTGAATTTTTATATATGGTTGTGCATGCACACAGTCTAATATTTTTTCTTCTTGTCTTCCCAGACGATAGACAGAGAGAGGTGTACATGCAGAGAATGCTTGTCATCAGATAATATATTTTTAGCCAGTAGTCTATGAGAATTCAGATGCCTATCCACGACTGCGTTTATCAGCTCGGCTAGGGGTGTGATACTTGCTCTACTAACAGACTTCAAAATCCGACGTAATACAAAGTAGTTTTTTTTCGGGAGTCCAGGAAAGAATAAGAGGGAACAATGAGTGAGTATGGACAAGGCAGAGGAATTGGTGAAACGTAGGAGTATAGGCTGAGTTATGCCAGACAATCTGACATTCCTAATATAAAAGGCCAAGTGAAGGATTTTCCTAGAGATCAGTAAGATACCAGGGGACCAAGGAAGATCAAAAGAAAGACATAAGCTAAGATGGACCACGCTTGCTACATTCTCTGTAACAGAGATATCTATAAGACAAGTCATGGGAGTGTAGCAATGCGTAAAGGTATTTTTCATGTCTTAAGCTAAAATTAACCATCTAACATTTGGAGGAATGAGGGTGAGGCCATTTAAGCAAAACCAGTAACGAATTTCGTTGAAGAAGCTACTGAACTAGGACAGGTCAGAAGAGGAGATGATGGGCATAGAAACCGTCAAGTCACCAGCATACTTAATAAAGTCAGCTTTAGTTGAGTTTGGTAAGTCATACCAAAAGAAAGAGAAAAGGAAAGGAGAAAGAACAGCACCTTGAGGCACACTGGCTTCAATAAGCAGCGAAGTAGAGCGTTTTCCTCTGTTCAGTGTAGTATCATCCCTCAGAAAAATATGAATCAAGCCAGTTTGAAATTCAGGACTTAATGTGAGTACTGGAAATCTTGTTTAATAACAGGGGTCTAGGTGTAGATTTAAAGGCAAAAGTATAATCTAAGAAGGCAGATCTAGCATACTTAGCACCTTTGTCTAGACTGGCAATAATATTATGATGTAAAACAACCGCAGCATCTAAGAAACTCTTTCTGGGTTTTGCAGGCAAATTGATTTGGATCTGTGAAAGCCTACAAATGAGGTTCAAGCACAAGAAGTAACAGTTTTCAGTAACGGTGAGGTAATTATGATCAGTCTGAATTTCATTTTAGCCCCCGCAGATGTGGACTTAGTTACCGGAACTATTCTAATCTCTTTCCAGGCGGTTGGTACATCGTTTCTAACAAAAAACTAATTAAAAATGTTTGTGAATGGATAGTAAAGAACATCAGCACATTTAGTGAAAAGAATACCTGATATACTATCTGGTCCGGGGAATTGAGAAGGTTTTAATGATTTCAGGCATTTGAAAACCTCCATTTCAGTGAATTAAGGAAACCTGCATTATGTTATACGTGAAGAACTAGACAAGATAATATTCGCGGGTTAAGTATGAACAGATTCGTTTGGTGTACACAC